TTGAGACTTGTTCTGTGTCCTAACATACAGTCCTAGAGAATGTTCCATGTGTACTTGAAAAGAATGTATATTTTTTCACTTTGGGGCAAAATGCTCTGAAGAGATCAATGAAATTTATCTGATCCAGTGTGTCATTTAAAGCCACTGTTTCTGTCTGGAAGATCATCCATTGATATAAATGGGGTGTTAAAATCCCCTACAATTCCAACTTTCTAATGATGATACTGCAGCTAACTTGCATAACCTATTTCAAATGTAAAAGCTCAGCTATAAGGAAGTTTGGGAAATGTAGTTTTTACTTTCTGATCTTGGCAAAACAGGAAGGCACCCAAAAGGTATTTGCAAATAGATCATAAGCACAACAGAAGGGTGAGAACAATGAATTAACATGCATTCATTCCAGGACTTTGTGCATTGTGTTTTGGAATATGTGCCTGTTACTCTTAGTTCCTACTCTAGTAGGCATTTACCAGCAAAGAAAACAACGTATAAAAAAATAAAAGAGAAAAATAAATGTTGTTTTATTAAATATATGTTTTGATTTTGTATGTGTACGTATGATGTATTGTACTCTAAATTGTATTTCTTAGTGTAGGTCACAGTAAAAATGGTTGGAAAATGTTTCCTTACATGTAACTCCCTCAATTCCCTGATATTTTAAGTCTGGCTATGGTACGTCTGTGTATTGCAAAGAACTCTGTAATTCACTCCCTATAGTTCCATTTGCATACATGTGCCCACGCGCACACATACACGTGTGCACACGCACGTCCAATATCTGTGCTCCTCATTAGACTCTGGCTCCCAGAGGAGAGGTTAGATACTGTGTTGGTCTTGCTTTCTGTTACCTTGTCATGAGGTCTGTCACGTAGTAGCTTTTTTTTCACATTTGCTGAATGAATAAAGGAGAAAGGGTTTGTTATGAACTTTTGTGTCACTGAGCTATTCCCAGGACTAATGAGTAGACTAGAGACTTTGAAAAAGTGCATAAACTCAAAATAATATTTGCAGCAGGAGAAACTGAAGCAAAGAAAAGATATCCTAGCACAATCAACCATAAGAGAACAAGAGCATCATGGAACCTGAAGAGAAACTTTGACTAGATCAGCATAGAGACTCCTTCCTTGGCCTTTGTGCAAAGACTTGTCACCAGCTCCTTAGTGCAGCAGAATAGGAAGCATATAAGAAACACATTCCAAGTAAACATGTGTAGTTCATTGAAATGAGATATCTTCTAAGTGTGGGTTCAATTATTTTACATGCTCCTCAGTAAGTGTGAATTAAGAACCTCTTAATGGCATTGTATGTAGATTTCTGTGCTGGGTGTACCTACATAATCATAGAGTGACAAATCTTGCGAGTAAAGCTAAACTGTCCCTTATTTCTAGGAATAAATTTAACCAAGGATATAAAAGACCTGTACTCAGAAAATCATAAGACACTGCAGGAAGAAATTGAAGAAGATGCAAATAAGTGGGAGCATATACCATGTTCATAGATAGAAAGAATTAACATCATTAAAATGTCCATACTATCCAAAGCAATTTATAGATTTAATGCAAGTCCTATCAAGATACCAATGGCATATTTCACATAACTAGAGCGAATATTTCAAAAATGTATATAGGATCACAAAAAAAAACCCAAATAGCCACAACAATCTTGAGAAAGAAGAATAAAGTTGGAGAAGTCATACTAACTCATATTAAACTATATTATAAGGCCATAGTAATCAAAACTGCATAGTACTGGCATAAAACCTGATATTTAGATTAGTGGAACAGAATAGAGAGGCCAGAAATAAACTCATGCCTTTATGGTCAATTAATATTTGACAAAATGAGACAAAAACATACAATAAGGTAAAGATAGTCTATTCAATAAATGGTATCTGGAAAGTTGGACAGATACATTCAAAAAATGAAACTAGACCACCTTTTATACTATATACAAGAATAAACTCAAAATGGATTAAAGGTTTAGATTGTTATACTTGAAACCATAAAAATACTAGAAGAAAACATAGGCAGTAAAATATTGGACATTTCTTATAGCAATATTTATTTCTGACATATCTCCTCAGGCAAGGGAAACAAAAGAAAAAATAAACAAATGGGACTACATCAAACTAAAAATGCTTTTGCACAGCCAAAGAAACCATCAACAAAATGAAAAGACAACCCTTTGAATGGGAGAACATATTCACCAATGCTACATCTGATAAGGGGTTAACATGTAAAATTTATAAAAAATTTACAAAACTCAACACCAAAAAAACCCACAAAACAATCTAATTAAAAAGTGGGCAAAGGATCTGAACAGATACTTCTCCAAAGAAGGTATACAGATGCCTATATACATATGAAAAGATGCTCAATACCACTAATCATCAGAGAAATGCAAATTAAAACCACAATGAGATATTGCCTCACACCTGTCAGAATGGTTACCATCAATAAATCAACAAACAACAAGTGCTGGGGTAGATGTGAAGAAAAGGGAACCCTCCTGCACTGTTGGTGGGAATGCAGATTAGTGCAGCCACCTTGGGGAGCAGTTGGGTGTTCCTCAAAAAGTTAAAAATGAAGCTCCCATTTGATCCAGCAATTCTAGTTATGGAAATATATCCAAAGAAACCCAAAACATTAGTTCAAAATAATATATGCACCCCTATGCTCATTGCACTGTTATTTACAATAATCAAGATTTGGAAGCGGCCCAAATGTCCATCAGTAGACATTTGGAAGCAGCCCAAATGTCTATCAGTAGACAAAAAAGCAGTGGTACATTTACACAATGGAATAATACTTGGCCTTTAAAAAGAAGAAAATCTTACTTTCTCTGACATGGATGGACCTGGAGAGCATTATGCTAAATGAAATAAGGCAGTCAGAGAAAGATGAGTACCATATGATTTCACTCATATGTGGAATCTAATGAACAAAATAAGCTAACAAACAAAATAGACATAGACTCATATGTACAGAGAACAGACTGACAGCTGTCAGAGGGTAGAAGTGATGGGGAACTGGGTGGAAAAGGTGAAGGGATTAAGGGAAAAAAATCATAGACACGGACAACAGTGTGTGATTACCACGGGGAAAGGGGAGTTGTGGGAGGTAGAAGAGAGCAAAGGTGGGATAAATGGTTTTGGAAGGAGACTTGACTTGGGTGGTGAACACACACAATACAATATACAGATGATGTATTGCAGAACTATACACCTGAACCTATATACTTTTATTAACCAATATCACCCCAATAAATTTAATAAAAATTATAATAAAGAAATTGGAATTGAGTCAGATACCACTTGCTCTAGATTTTGGAAGGGCCCAGCTAGAAGCAAGGTCTTAAACACACATGTCTCCCTGATATTGGCCAGGCAGGGTGTGCTGCTGTCTGGCCACCAGCTTTGACTGTGGCGAGGCAGTTGTGCTCCCTGGGATTGTGACTGTGGCAGTACATCCTTAAACTCAATTATAGCCTCTGATTCCTGCTTCCTTTCAGTAATTCTGAAAGCACCTGGTTCCCTGTGTTAAATCCATTTCTTCTTAAAATACTCAGCAATGCCTTGAGTCATATTTACCTGAAGCAGACACTAATATGAGGATTTACGTGCAAGTGACTTATTAAGGCCGTGGTTCCCAGAGAAACCATGAAGGGGGTGATGGAAGTGGAACTGGGAAAAGGAAGAAGTCAAGTGAGGGTACAATTTTAGTCATAGTTCCAGCCCCATCCAGATCCCACAGAAGTGCTTACCCCAGGAAATATTAAATTACCCCAGGAAGCTAGTTACACCACAGAGGTTGACCTAGGTTGAGACAAGAGAGCTGGGCCTTCAAAACCTCACACCATCTTCCACTAGCTATAGGCCACACCATCAGGGAATGGGGATCTGCTGTGCTCACAGACAAAGTGGCTCAAGAATCCCAGGGCGGTTTTCTGGAGAGAAGCAGGTGATTAAAAGCAAAAGCCTATACAAACTTGGGGGAGGGCACACCGAAATTTTAAAAGAGATCCTCAGAGGAACAAGGAGGACTGGGTCCTCTACAGGGTGATGTAACTTATGCCAAATCCTGACAGATATGACCAGCAACAAAGTTCACAATGTGCTAGTTGCTCACTGGCAGGTAGTTGTAATTATCCACACTAACAATGCTATTCAAGTTGAACCTGCAACTAAAATGGGTTTCCAGAATTGCCATCCTGTATGTAACTGTTATTAACCGTAGGCCTAGATTCAGCCCTTTAGACTTCAGGTTTTCTACCTCAGATATAGAATTTTTTTTGAAGTGGATTGGATTTTTCCCCCTCTCATTTTCATAGACATTTAGCAAGGAAAAAAAAGAAAGAAAGAAAGTGGCATCTGCAGTTGAACAGGATCTTGGCATCCCACCACGTGGTAGAAGGGATGCAGCCATATTAACCCCAACTCCAATTACCTAGCCTGCACACCACGAGGCCCCCTGGTGGCTTCCTCTATGAATGTGCAAAGAACTAATTCTCAGAGAGAGGTGGAAGGGGGAGGAATAAGGAGAGGGAGAGGGAGAGGGAGAGGAGAAAGGGGGGAGGGAGGGAGAGAGGGAGAGAGGGAGAGAGAGAGATCTGAATAATTTTACTTTCTGTTCATCTATTTCAGGGTCTAGTGAAGATTTATTTACTGTTCCACAATACTTATTTCTCTCAAAGCACTTTTCCTTCTTAAAATCATCAATTTGAAAAGCATGGTTTGCCACAGGCCATTAATAAGCCATTACTAATTCCCTTTCCTTCTCCAAACCTTTCATTTTAAAATCTAGAAATATTGGATAAAGTGTGTTTTGAAATGTCAGTGGTAACAAAAAGAAAGTAATTGTATTATTGATAGTGAGAAGGACTGAAGTTATTTTTTATTTTCTGATAAAAATTTCACATCCGGTCTTTAGCTGACAAAGATGTGACTGGCAGCAAAAATATCAACTGGGACCATAACAGCATACATCGAGAATGTAACTTGAGTGCTAGCTTCGGCAGCACATATACTAAAACTGGAATGATTCAGAGAAGATAAGCATGGCCCCTGCACAAGGGTGACACGCAAATTTGTGAAGCATTCCATATTTTTAAATTTACAAAGTGATGCAAAGCAAGGGACTGAATCCAAGAATACTCAATCCAGAAAGGCTATCATTCAAAATTGAAGGGGAAATAAGGAGCTTCACAGACAAAAAAAAAAAAAAAAAAAGGCTAAGGGAGTTTATCACTACCAAGCCAGCAATGCAAGGAATGCTAAAGGGACTGGTATAAAAAGAAGAAATAAAAAGGGAAAAAGGAACACAGACACAAAAAAATAAAAATGGCTACAAACAAGTACCTATCAATAATAACTTCAAATGTAAATGGGCTAAATGCTCCAATCAAAAGACATCGAGTGGCTGAATGGATAAAAAGACATGACCCATATATATGCTGTCTACAAGAGACCCACCTCAGAACAAGGAACTCACACAGACTGAAAGTGAAGGGATGGAAAAATATTTTTCAGGCAAATGGAAATGAAAAAAAGCTGGGGTAGCAATACATATACCTGACAAAATAGATCTCAAAGTGAAGGCCATAACAAGAGATACGGAAGGCCACTTCATAATACTAAAGGGATCAATACAACAAGAGGATATAACCCTGATAAACATATATGCACCCAATGCAGGAGCACCCAAATACATAAAAAAAAACTCCGGGAAGATATCAAGGGAGAGATCGACAACAATACAATCATAGTAGGGGATTTTAATACACCATTGACATCACTGGACAAATCCTCTAGACAAAAAATCAGCAAAGAAACAGAAATCCTAAATGACTCACTAGATCAGATGGACTTAATTGACATCTTCAGAACATTTCACCCCAAAGCCACGAAATATACGTTCTTCTCAAGTGCACATGGGTCATTTTCAAAATAGACCACATACTGGCTCACAAGCAAAGTCTCTCCAAATTCAAGAAGATTGAAATCATATCAAGCATCTTCTCAAACCACAATAGCATAATATTAGAAATAAAGTACAATAAAAACAATCAAAAAAATTCAAAAACTTGGAAGCTGAATAGCATGCTATTAAACAATGATTGGGTTACCAAAGAGATCAAAGAAGAAATTAAAAGCATCCTGAAAATGAATGAAAATGAAAACACAACAATCCAAAATCTATGGGATACAATGAAAGCAGTCCTGAGAGGGAAGTTTATAGCTCTATAGGCCTACCTCAAAAAAAAACAAGAAAAAATGGTAGTAAATCATCTAACTCTACAACTTAAAGAATTAGAAAGAGAGCAACAAGAAAAGCCCAGAGTGCACAGAAGGAAGGGGATAATAAAAATCAGAGTAGAAATAAATGACATACAGAACAAAAAAACAATACAAAAGATCAATGAAACCAAGAGCTGGTTCTTTGAAAGTATAAACAAGATTGATGAACCTCTAGCCAGGCTCACCAAGAAGCAAAGAGAAAGGACCCAAATAAACAAAATCAGAAATGAAAGAGGTGAAATAGCTACAGACCCCATAGAAATACAAAGGAATGTTAAAAAAAAACACACTATGAACAACTCTATTCCAACAAACTAGACAACCTGGAGGAAATGGACATATTCCTAGAAAAATGCAACCTTCCAAAACTCAATCAGGAAGAATCTAAAAATCTCAATAGGCTGATAACTGTGGAAGAAATTGAAGCAGTCAGCAAAAAGCTTCCAACAAACCAAAGCCCGGGGCCAGTCCACTTCACAGGGGAGTTTTACAAAACATTCAAGGAAGAACTAAAACCTATCCTCCTCAGACTATTCCAAAAAATTCAAGAGGAAGGAACTCTTCCAAGCTCATTCTATGAAGCCATCATTACCCTAATACCAAAACCAGATAAAGACAGCACAATGAAAGAGAATTACAGGCCAATATTCCTCATGAACATCGATGCCAAAATCCTCAACAAAATTCTAGCAAATTGGACCCAGCATTACACCAGAAAGAACATACACTATGACCAAGTAGAATTTATCCTGGGGATGCAAGGATGGTACAATATCCACGAATCAATAAACTTGATACATCTCATAAACAGATTGAGAGATAAAAGTCACATAGGCATATCAATTGATGCAGAAAAAGCATTTGACAAAATCCAACACCCTTTCTTGATAAGAACTCTCAACAAAGTGGGAATAGAAGGATCATACCTCAACATAATAAAAGCCTTATATGACAAACCCACAGCCAACATCTTACTCAATGGGAAAAAACTAAAACCATTTCCCCTAAGAACAGGAACAAGACAGGGATGCCCACTCTCACCACTGCTGTTCGACATAGTACTGGAAGTACTAGCCATTGCAATCAGACAAGAAGAAATAAAATGCATCTAAATTGGAAAAGAAGTAAAACTGTCCTTATTCACAGATGACATGATACTGTACATAGAATACCCTAAAGACTACATCAAAAAATTAATGACTTATGAATTTGGCAATGTAGCAGGATACAAAATTAACACCAAGAAATATATGGCATTTCTATACACCAATAGTGAACTTACAGAAAGAGAGACCAAAAAAGCAATCCCATTTACCATCACACCAAAAAAATTAAGATACCTAGGAATAAAATTAACTAAGGATGTAAAAGACCTGTACTCAGAAAACTACAGGACATTGAAAAAAAGAGATAGAGGAAGACATAAACAAATGGAAGAGCATACCATGTTCATGGATTGGTAGAATCAACATCATTAAAATGTCCATACTACCCAAAGCAATCTATAGATTCAATGCACTCCCCATTAAAATACCAATGGCATATTTCACAGACCTAGAATGAACTCTCCAAAAATTCATCTGGAATAAAAAAAAAGACCCCAAATAGCTGCAACAATCCTGAGAAAGAAGAACAAAGTAGGTGGGATCTCAATACCAGATATCATGCTATATTACAAAGCCACTGTTCTCAAAACTGCCTGGTACTGTCACAAGAACAGACATATAGATCAATGGGATAGAATAGAGAACCCAGAAATTGACCCAAACCACTATGCTCAATTAATATTTGACAAAGGAGGCAAGAACATACAATGGAATCAAGACAGTATCTTCAATAAATGGTGTTTGGAAAATTGGACAGATACATGCAAAAAAAATGAAACTAGACCACCAACTTACACCATACACAAAAATAAACTCAAATTTGCAACAGCATGGATGGAATTGGAGAGCATTATGCTGAGCGAAATAAACCAGTCAGAGAAAGATAAATATCACATGATCTCACTCATTTATGGAATATAATGAACAACATAAACTGATGAACAAAAACAGATCCAGAGATAGAGAAGCATCGATTAGACCAGCCATGGGCAAACTACGGCCCACGGGCCGGATCCGGCCCGTTCAGCTGTTCTATCCGGCCCGCGGAGCCGAAAGAGCGGAGGGTTCTCTTGCTCTCACCTCCGCTCCTTCACCAGCAGCAGTGTTAACATGTATTAGTTCACACAAACACTCCATCCATGCTTTTGTTCCGGCCCTCCGGTCCAGTTTAAGTTCCACCCATTGTGGCCCTCGAGTCAAAAAGTTTGCCCACCCCTGGATTAGACCGTCAAACCTCAGAGGGAAGGTAGGGGAGAGCAAGAGGAAGGGGGATAGATCAACCAAAGGACTTGTGTGCATGCATATAAGCCTAACCAATGGACACAGACAACAGGGGGGTGAGGGCATGATTGGGGGGCAAAGGGGGCAATGGGGCGATAAGGACATATGTGTAATACCTTAATCAATAAAGAGAAAAAATTAAAGAAAGAATGTAACTTGAATATAATGCAGTAGTTTGAATTTAGGCATGGGTATCTTGTTTACTATTGGTTATATCATTAGAAAGGGTTTTGGGGTTTTTCGTACCCAGGCATCTCATGAGAAACCATGACTTCCCAGTTAGCCACTTAATAGGGGAACTGCTTAGCTTTCTCCCCAGCACAGCCTCGGTGATAGAACATAGGCAGGTCCACACATGACTGTTATAACTATTGATACCTGATGGTAAAATTGCTGTCTTTCCCCAAGTGATAAATATTATATTCCTTATATTCCCATGGACTAGGGATGAAGGGATGAGTAGGGGTGGGGACTGGCACAACATTTAAGGTGTCTTTTGGTTTATACAATTCTGAGTTTTTGTTCTCTGTGTAAAAGCCCATTCAGAAAGAAGAAAAAAAAAGAGCCTGCTCTGCTCTCTTCTTTAACTAAACTAAAACATTAAGGCAATGTTATCAACCAAGACTGAGGCTCCCCCGGCCTTCTTTTCCCTTTCTGCTTATCCTGGCAATTCCATCAGCATTTCTTGAACTGATTTCCCATTATCCCTTTCTAGTTTTATAATTCTCTTCTATAATATTATATTAAGTACTCAAAGTATTACTGAAACCCAACCTATAAAAATTCTCACATTTTACTAATCCATAAGGTTAATATGCTTTTGATGGAAAGTCAAGGGGTTTATTTTCAGAAAGTAATACTATCCCAGGCCGCAAAAAATAAAAATCTCAAGTTCTCAAAGTTGTAAAGACCATATTCTCTAACCACAGTGCCATAAAATTGGAAGTTTATAACTAAAGGACAAGTGGAAAAAGTCAAAGACACTTAAAAACTAAGAATTCATTTTGCCCTGACCAGTGTACTCAGTGGTTAGAGGGTTGACTCAAGCACTGAAGAATCACAGATTTGATTCCCAGTCAAGGGCATGTACTGGGTTGCAGGTTCAATCCCCAGCCCTCGTCGAAGCCGGCTCCAGAGACAACCAATCGATATGTCTCTCATCTCTCTCTCTCTCTCTCTCTCTCTCTCTCTCTCTCTCTCTCTCTCTCTCTCTCTCTCTCTCTCTCTCTCCCCCTCCTTTCCATTCTCTCTAAAAATCAATGGAAAAATCCTCAAGTGAGGATTAACCAAAAAAAATTAAAAATTAAAATAAAAACTAAGAACTCATTTTTATGTAAAGTTTAATGAAAAAAAGAAGGAAAAGTGGCTAAAACTACCAAGATGCAACAAAATGACCATGTTATACCTTATAATGCGAGTCTCTGG